CAGCAACAGCAACAGCAACAGCAGCTTTATTCAGTGGCGGACTTTGACTTTTCGAATCTGCAAAACATGGTCGGAGCCCAGTCGGTGGTTTGAGGATAACAGTACCCAGCAGACGAGGATCAACACCCGTGCCTACCTGTCTACCCAGGAGTTAACTCACTCTTTGCTTGTTTAGGCGGGGGGGAGTTACTTCCGTCGAGGACAACATGGTCTCCGGGGCCGTGCCGCCGGGGTCTACCTCGGTTCCCTGTAGACAGGTCGTGCACTGGAATTGACGACAACGACAACAATAACAATGGTAATAGCAGCAATGGCAGCAACAGCACAAATTGCAGCAATACGAGACCCAGCACTAACAGAGCTCACAGCTCAGCGGAGGAAGACACCTTGCAACGTGTAGCATCACGATGCCTTCAAGCTTTACTCTTACATCCGACGGGGCTTCGGGTTTGTTGGCTTTCGGAGTTTGGCTTCAGGGTGCAAGGCCGGAGCTTGTACTTTTTGCCGGAGTTTTTGGAAACTGCCTGGCAGGCAATGGCAACTGGGCCTCGTCCTTCTGGATCAGCTAGGCCTGGGGGTTTGAGGATCGATTTGGTTCTGGGCCTGTCGCATCGTCCCAACAACTCTGCCGACCATTTCGCGTAGGTGTTGGGTCTCGGTCCCGGTCTGAATTTCCGAGCCTCAAATGACTTGAAAACGGGGCCCGCGGTATCCACGAACCGACAAATACTGGCAGGAAGACCTTGTGTTCATCTCATGGCCCGAAGTACTAAAACTCGAAACTCCTCTCCACCCCCTCAACCGACGCAGCTCGAAACAAGCCCACTTCAGCGACGGTTCTTTCCTCGGTGCAGGTGCCTCCCAAAATGGGGCGGCAGCGGCTGCTTGGCCTCCGGCCTTTGCCCGAGCAGTTGGAAGTTCGACGAAGAGACAATAGTGGCAGCAAGTCTTGCATCTGCAAAAATAGCACTGACTGCAGTATGACGTAGATTGTGCAACAGTCTGCTTGAGCAGTAGTCGCTCTATTGTTTACGGTGCTTGCAACTTTCTAGATTCTAGAATTTCTGTCTTAGAGCTCACTCTACGGCTTTGGATTCTGCCACAGCTTTCGCTTTATGTGGGGTGTTCGAGCCTCAAGGCTTAGAATAACGAGTTCGGTGCTTGGCTGCTGCGGTTCGCGGCATAGTCTTTCAAAGGATGCTTTAAAGGGGTCTCGCTTCCGAGTATGTTCCATACAACTTCTGGCAGACAGCAACATGTGCACAAACTCTGAACCCTTACTCCGTCAGTCGTCACCGAGGTTGTGGATGACTGCGAGCATTCACTCCACACTCAAGTTGTGGGGCTCTCAGTCAACTAAGATATCTATTCTAGACGAGTTTGGCAACCCTAGAATGGAAGCGCCCAAAGCTCGTTGCCTTCTTGTTGGCTTTCGCCGCGAGGGCTACACTTAAACAGAAGCCTTGCCAGAAGTAGTCATGGTATTCCTTGCTGTATTTGTGCAGTATCTTTTGCCCCAAAGCCAATTTCTGCGTCTAATTCATGCTGATCTTAAAGAGACCTACTTGCACATGAAGCCTAGTGCAACCGTTTAGACCGCTACAGTACCTTTATGTTGCAAGTCTTGCTCACAGGTCCAGCTGAGCGTCGCAAAGTTCACAGTACATTTCTCTCATGAGGTTACTGTTTAGGGTTTAGGGTTTCTCGGTATAGTACAAGGGCTTCGTAAGTGTAAGGCCGATGTCGCAAGTCCCGAGCTCAAGTCCTGCAAAAGGCGCCGTGATTTTCCACAGCTAAACTGACCTCCTTTGTCTGAAAGATGTGGGGCGTGTGGGGCTTAGAGATTCAGCCTTCTCAGGTTTATGGGCTTTACGGTGCCACTGCAGAGCCGTGGACACTAGTTCTGAGTTGGGCTAGAGGGAGCCTGAGGTCCCAAAACTGATCCCGGAGTCCCGCTGAACCCAGACCATGCGTTCAGCAGCATTTGTGCTTTCAAAACTGTCCGGAACAAGGAGTGACGCATAATGCTGCAGTCAACATTGAATTTCTGTTTCATGTCAATTAAACTTTCGCTCCGTAAGGATCCGTCAGAAAGTGGAGAAGCCCTTTGCATCCCGCTGCAACTATCCGTGCCATGACTAAACCGCAAGGAGCAAGGCCCTACGCGTCAAACACCCAGTTCCTGAGCCTTGACAAAGAGACTTAATGCAAAGCCTTAACCTTGAAACCTGCTTTCTGCACACTCTAATGTCGTTGTCGCTAGGTACCTCAGCTCCTCGAAAGCCTCGAGGCATTGGAAAGGCGTTTCCTGCAAGCTCAGAGCCGGCAAAACGGGTGCAGCCTTGGACCTTTACCCGAAGCCTCCTACCAGACATGATGCTTTAAAGCCGAGGGTTTCGTCGCAGCGCTCGGGATTGAAGGTCTCCGCCTAGGCTCCAAGCATGGTCCAAGGGCTTCGGGTCCAGATTTTCGGAGACACATCTCAGGAACCTTGTAACGGCAAGATACTGATGGTCAAGTGCCACTTAGTCCGCACAGGATCGAAGGAGCCGCACAGTCGAAAGCCTCATTGTTGACAATGAGACGTCTTTAGCCAGTCTGGCGGATGCTTTTAGCCCCAGGCCCAGGACTAGCCTGAAGCACGGCCTGGTGCAATGAACAGCCATGGATACCGGCACGGCCGCGGCCGGCAATTTCCGTGCCGAGCTGCGCTGAGGCAGGTATCCTCAGCGTTAAGCTGCCTCTGTCGAGCGAGCCGCACAATGTATCGTGAACAGAAGCTAAACCCCCGCCGCAAGCGGCTCCAAGCCAGGGACCTCGATGCAAGAGTCAGCAATAGCTGAAGTTGAGACGGTGGGAGAAAGAGCTGAATCGTGAGGATCCTTGATCGGTGGTCCGGCAACCGCATCCGGCCAATCCGATCTTGCGTTCTCCGCCTACGCCTTCTTGAAATTGGTCCTGTAGCCGACTCCCCCGAGCCCTATATCCTCGATCCCCAAGTCGAACTCGAAAACCCAGTTCCCCATACCCCAGCACCCAAATTTCAAAACAGTTGATCATTTAAGACATCCCTGCGTCCGAACCCACGGAGATCCAGAGAAGCCTGAAACCTTTCAAAAAGGCCACTCTGGTCTGGCATGGCCCCGACCGTGCACTCCCGGCATGCCGAATACTTCGCTGCGCCCTCCGAGGCCCACCATGGTGCTAGTGCCACAAACCAACGTACCTTGAGTTTTGGGCTTTCTGCCTCCTCCTACTTCCAATCCTACACCTGCTATGAATAGCAGAAGCAACAACAGTAACGAGAACAGTGGTTCGACCACAAATACTACTGCTGCCACTACTGTGGCTACTGATTGCTACTTCTGCTACTCCTACTACTGCTGCTGCTGCCGTTCATCCTACTACTACTACCGCTGCTACTACTACTACTACTACTACTACTACTACCGCTACGACAACGACTACTATGACTGTTGCTACTACGACTACTGAAGCTACTACTGCTGCTACTGCTGCTGCTACTGCTACCACTACCACTACCACTACACTA